CACAGACATCGTTTTATTGTGTTTTTCATTATAAACTAATAGTATTAGGTTTCAAGGATTCAGGTAAAATTAATTATTTAGCACAACTTTCAATTTTTTACTTTTATCTCCCAGACTGGATTAATTTTGAAAGGTACTCTGGATTTTTAACTACAAAACTATTTATAATAGCTTTTGCTTTGTTTTATCCATATCTGTCTTGTGAGATTGCTATGAAAATAAAGACATTTATTTGACTTCTAAATGGATGCTATGTTAAATTTTAAACAATAACAAAAAACAAATTTATAACCAATAACCATTTAATAACTTAACCACAGCTAAAACTCATTATTTAAATTTCAATTTAAGTTGGGAGTTGAGAAGTGGAGGTGAAACCCTTACTAGAACTTGCAAGGTTGTTAGTGATCTGAAAGTTATTGTCATCTAATAAAAAGGTATGGAGAAATGCAGGGATAATCTTGACAATGGTATGAAGAATCTTTTAGGGTAATAAAGTCACTTCTGAGAAAAGTAATAGTGTGAGAAATAAACTCAAAATAGTCTCACTTTGATTCTGTTTGATATCAGAGGAAACAAATGAAAACTCTTGAGGTTAACATTGTATTACTATACCTTATAACGATAAAGTGGCATACCTGGAATACAGGTAATATTTGTTTCTTGACTTGTTCTACTTTAAAAGGTTCCATAGTTCATTTGTCAACTTGGAATAAGTCCAAATTTTGTTTAACCATGTCTTTTTGAATACTAGATAATTACATAATGTTTATTTTCCAACTTTGCAGTTGGAAAATATTTATTCATTTGTTTGTTTATTTATTTATATTGAATTTAATATTTTCACTCATCTCATAACAAAATGTATAAATAAATAAATATAAATATATAATAAACATTGCAGTCCTGGCAGGAAATGGGATAATAAACATTATGCAATATTTTATTATTTTATTACTGTTTATTCCTTCCATGATCATGCTTATTTGTTATAATAGCATAGCAGAATACAAATATAATAACAATAAAACACTAATAATACAAATAAGATAACAACACCAATGAACAACACTATATGCACGGTGTAAAAATCTAGATGACCACTAGAAAGGCAACAAGCCTTTCAGTCATGCAGGTTTTCATTGTATTTAATATAGCACCATGCAAAACAATATAATGATCCAAATTAGCATGCAGATTAACTGGCAAAATCTCATTCATGAAAACATGTAGGCATTGGCCCATTTTTGGCAAGAATAAATATCCATAGAAATAGTTAAGGAAGTTTTGGTGTTTATCTGTATAAATGAATCCATGCATTTTGTTATGCTGTGATGCAGCAAACTTTATTATTACTATAGCTACATTTAAATGTTCAAAGTGAATATTTATAGAATTTAATGGAAATAGTTATATTGGGAACATTTTTTTATTTTGGTTTAAGGTGAACACAAAGCATGTTGCAACTTTTGGCTTTAACAGCAATCCCTGCAGCAAGAAAAGATACTGCAATTAAACTGTCAAAATCTAAACTATTAAGTGGCATTCAAGTCTCCTCTAATTATTGTTGTTTTAATAAAATAAAAAACCTTTTTGAATGTCTTCTTTTAAATGACTCACTTATTTGCCAAAAGCAGAGAGCATTATTCTGGATAGTTCAACCTTGTGAAATTTTTTTTATTTCCTCCATTCTTAAATACATTTAAGAAATAGCTATAAATCTATTTCAGTCTTCCCTAATCTAATGCCCTCCAGAAAACATCATTTCTGAATTTCATATTAGCATTTCACAGGGTTTACTCAGTTCTTCACAGTGTAGACCTTTAAAAAAATATTCTTTAGGGACTGGAGGCATTAGAATGATCCTTCTAAAATCTATGTGACATTATTAACTCAATATATAAGAGAAAATGACCATGAAGACTTTGAAGATAATATGGAATAAATCTAACTTTATAAGCTTCAAAAACAGATTTTTCTGAAGATATGGATGAAATAAGCGATCATAAGAAGGATTAGTAAAAAGTGGCTGATCCACATTTAACAAGCACAACTTCTTAACAGTTCTTAGAAGAAGAATTATTGGCTACAAACTTTAAAAATGATCAGGATTAGTTATTTCCAATTCTAGAGAGCATAACATAAAATATTTATGAATATTTTATTCATATAAATTTATTTCCTCCTTCAGAAAAAATTTACTAAAAAAAAATCATACATTTCTGAGAAATACATTTTTTATCTCTTGAAAACAGATCAAGTGCCTTTTCTCTTTCTGAAAAGTGGCAAGAGACTGATTGTCACTGTCAATACAATAACTGAAAACTGTCTGGTTTTCAGTTATTGTAATGAGTTATCAGTTAAGTTCTGAAAAATAGTTGTGTTCCAACTGTGCCTTCTAAATGCTTTAAACTACACTTTCCAGAACTGTCAGCTGGAAATTTAGGAAATATAATGTATCTGGGGAGTGCCAGGCTGGAGAAAGTTTCCCCTTACAAAAACATGATTGCTTTGATGATTCATGTATGAAAAATTTACTTTTAAGCATAGAGATTCTACATATATTTAGATATTTTAAAACAAATACAATATAAAACAAGGAACATTAGTCTTTTAAAAAAATAAGCATCACAATAAAGTTTCAAGAGATAATAAAATACAGACCTGTGCATTATCCTTTGTCAACTAAAAAATGCATCTTGGCAACTAACATTAGGAGCTAATGTTATAAAACCTAGATTTAGATTTTATGAAACAGAATCTGTTTAGAAGTTTATGGTACAAGAAATATGGATGAACATTTTTACTTCCATAGGCTATGAAGTCCTATTGGCAAAACCTCTTACTTGATATAACTTGAATGATTTTTCAGTACATTAACATAAATTCATTATAGTTATATTAGTAATAATAATTTATATGACACAGTTGTGATTTTGTTTAAAATACATTAATCTGAAATCTGCAACAAAAAATTATTCTATTTTTGTCAAGCACATTTCAAAAAACCCTAAAATGCTACAAATGCTACAAAGTTTAATAACAGATAACATAGAGTTAACATTTGTGAACAGATTTTTGTTTTGGTCCATTATTGTCAGTATCCAGAAAGAATTGCCCTTCACAAAGATCACACAAAACTCTTTATTTTTTAGATCATAAATTTGTAATTTGTTTCCAGGTATAGCAGTGAAGACATCAGATTTTTTTTTCATGGAAATAGGAAAGATCAACTTATCATGGCCCTTTTAAGTATAAACCAGATTTCTCCTTATACGCATAAAAGATAGTATGTGCAATGAAGACATGAACTAGGCTATATTTTGTTTTAGATGTATCAACCTTCACATAGTCAAGATTTAATAAACTGGAATTCCTTCAGCTATTTTCAAGCCAGTTACATACATAATTGTCATACCATAGAGCCAACTTAATAACTTAGAAATTAGTATTTATTGGAGTTCTTTGTCAAATGTTTTACTGAAGTTATGATATATTATTTGTGGGGCATTCTCACAATCTGCTAGAAAAATCTCAGTCAAAAGAATGCAATTACATTACTCTGGCAAGAATTGTTCATGATAAAATCATACTAATTTTTGGTAATTATTGCATTGTTTACAATGTATCTACAGATCAGTTTCTAAATACTTTTTTCTAGAATCATCACAGGTTAATCTGTAGTTTTCTGTATCTTCCTTTCCCCTTCCTTCCACCCCCCCTTTTTTTTAAAAAAATAGGATCAATATTTGGTCTCCCCCAATCATCTTGAATTTACCTTTTCTACAGATTGAAGAGATAAATGTAATAAAAACCTCAGCCAAGCTTCAGCACTATGAATTTCACTGCACTAAAGATAACTGGGCTGCAGAACCTGTATCAATAGACTTATCACTTGCTGGTGTTTTATGCCTTGTTGAAGATAGGAGAAAGAAACATAATGTCTTCACTGATCAACAAATCTGTCTTGAAATCAGAATGATTCTTGCACTCAGTCCATTACTGATATCTCCATTTGTATTCTTTTGGATAGGTGAAAAGAAATGAAGTGAAGATAGATCTTATTTTCACCTATACTTATTTAACTTCACTGTTGTCCAGACTCTTGTCATGAATGATGGCAGTTTCTATAGCAGATAGGGATTTTGACAGATTTATTTTACCGTTATTTTTATTCCTGTTCCCATTTGATCCTCTTTCAGTTTATTTTTGAATTTCCATTACTTTCATATATATTTTTATTTCTTTTGCAAATATATATTGTTCCAATCTTAAATCTTCCATTTAACAGTCTTATTTTCTTGAGTTACGTCTTAAAATATGCTTTATTTTAAATAGTTTCTTTTCTTTTTACTATAAGATTATTAATAAAATGGTTGTATATTATCTTTCTTCCTTTGTCCTTGGAAATAATGTCAGATTCTTCTCTCCCGGCACTCTACCAATAACCATGTCTATGTATTATTAAAATATTAGACATGCAACACATCCTTAAACTTTTGATCCTGGGCTGAATACTGAGGCTGAGAATGGACCAAGCAGAGATGTGCTCACTGATTACTGAGAATTACTTTGGGAATGTTGCCAACGTTGTTTTAAAAAGCAGCTACTATGGTGAAAAGACAAAACAAAAATGCAATTTGAAGTGACCCTGATGAATTGTGTTTCATGTTCCCTGAAGGGAAAGCATTGGAGCAAACAACCACCCAGATTAATGAAAGACAATTAATCTACTTTCTGAACCTACCACAGAGTATTTGGGGTGGTACCTGCATGCTTTTTGAAAAAGTACTGCCCCCAAATGAAATAACCATGTGAAATGATAGTAATGTCATTCTTAATATCTACTTCTGGCAATTTCAGCTTTGTCACAGTTCTTCAATTTAATAACAGTTAATATATCAACAACATTATGCTCTTTTGAATTAATATAAATAAAAGATGCCTACAGTTTTTGATTGTTATGATGATTTTTTTCATGGAATGTATTTTCTTTTTAGTGGGATGCTATAACAGAAATGGATGAATATAATCGTCCTATCCACACATACCAGGTATGTAATGTTATGGAACCCAACCAAAACAACTGGCTTCGTACAAATTGGATCTCACGTGATGCTGCCCAGAAAATTTATGTGGAAATGAAATTTACACTGAGGGACTGCAACAGCATTCCATGGGTGCTGGGGACATGCAAAGAAACATTCAACCTTTACTATCTGGAATCAGATGAATCCCATGGAATTAAATTCAAGCCAAACCAATACAGCAAAATTGATACTATTGCAGCTGATGAAAGTTTTACTCAGATGGATTTGGGAGATCGCATCCTGAAACTGAATACAGAAGTTCGTGAAGTGGGACCAATAAACCGAAAAGGATTTTTTCTTGCCTTTCAAGATATTGGAGCATGCATTGCTTTGGTTTCTGTCCGTGTTTACTACAAAAAGTGTCCTTTCACTGTTCGGAACTTGGCTATGTTTCCTGACACCATTCCAAGGGTTGATTCTTCTTCTTTAGTGGAAGTACGAGGTTCTTGTGTGAAGAGTGCTGAAGAACGGGATACTCCAAAGTTATATTGTGGAGCTGATGGGGACTGGCTAGTTCCTCTAGGACGATGCATATGCAGTGTTGGTTATGAAGAAGTGGATGGTTCATGCCATGGTAAGACAATTGTTTTAAGTAAATTCCAAGGCAAGTTTTGAATTATACTCAGCTAGATGGGTTATAGTCCAGCTTTTAACTAAATTTCATTTCTCAATAGAAAATGCATTAAATTTATTATTCATTTAATTGTTGGATGAAGCTCATATATTGAAAACAAATATGTCATCAATGAAGAATGATGAAAGCTTCATTTACAGAAAAAATGTTTTATTCTTAAAAAAATAAGTAAAATGGAATTGTTCATTGTTATTTGCTTTTAAGAAGAGTAAACAATTTCTTGTGTGCATACTAAGCAATTACGAATATAATATAAGTTGGTATCTTGTTCAAATACATAGTAGCTTTGTTGTCCTGGCATTTTGCTAGCTAAAAACACTTGAAGAGTGACATGTTGTAGAAGCTTATTTAATTTCAAAACAATATAGAAATGAGAAATACTATATTAGGTGGCAAGTATTGCATATTGGAAAAAGCATATATTTATGAGAAAAAGATCCAAGTATTTGGAGAACAAATAGATGCACATAAACGTTATTTGGTGTGGGGAGAAGATCAAGTGGAAAATATTTTGCTCATTAGAATTTATTAAATTATAGTGATTAGAGTCAAGGACAATTTTTTTTTCAAATCTGGCTATAATCTTTAATTTTGTCAATAAATATATATATTGCTAATATATTGATAGAATAATATTTCCTCTTAATAGAATAAAAGGAATTGATTTTATTAATGGATGAAAATATTTGTTCATATTTGTATAAATACTGAGATTGTTTTAAATTACATAGAATAACTTAGTTTAATTCTGCAGTTATGAAAAACGTACACTGAATTAAATTTATGCTGATTATTAGATATACTAGCTACTTGGATGCTTGTTTTTATCCAAATACAGAAAGGCTGCATGGAACTAGATAATCTAAAAGCTTCAATGTATGATGAACCTATCAGAATTTAAGCAAGATGCAATTGACATTTCCAGATTAAACAATTTATGAATCCTTTACAAACTACGCTTATTCGTACTCTTCAGGTTGAAAAATTTGCTGATAGTTGGTCTTTGATCAACTAAATATTTATATATTTTTATTTAAATTTAAATTACTGAAGATGAAGATTTTCAGAAGACTATTTAAAAAACAAGCTCATTAAAAATTCTGTGGCATCTCAGTTAAATCTATTTATTTTATTTATTTATTTATTTATTTATTTATTTATTTATTTTATGAGACTTATATACCGCTTTAAGTGAAAGCACTCTCTAAGCTGTGTACACCAGTAAGCAATGTATATATATATTTACATTGCCCCCAACAGTCTGGGTCCTCAAATAAATTTTATTTATTTTTATTTCAAATAAAAGCAACAGAAGAAAGGGCATGATTAAATAATATTGAAATAAAATTTAATAAGGCTGCTATAAGTTCAAAATTCTGAAATTAATGTAATAGTTGAATAAAATAATAACAATGTCTGATTATTATGCAAGTATTTTAATCTGAAAATGCAAAATGTTGATTATTATATAACTTCCTAACTGGGTAGGTTAGCAATATTTTTTTTAACAGCCTAGACAGGATGTCCCAAATATAGTCTTCTGCTTTTGCAGTAATTGCAGGATAGAATTATTCTCTGAAAATTTCCTATTAATTCCTGTGAAGTTCTATAATAGCTTCCTCCTTCTCTTCCTCCCTCTCTCCTTCTCTTCTCTCTCTCTCTCTCTCTCTCTCTCTCTCTCTTTCTCAAAAGAGGATCAATGTTGCTGCTCTACAAGCAGTATCTAGATAGGAACATAATAAACTGCAGGAGTACTTAAAAGCATGTTTATTTAAAGTGTTTTTATTTAATTGCTTAAGGAGTAGAAAATTAATGTTTAAACATTAACTGCTGTATTATATCTTCACTTTTTCAGTGGAGTATTATTTTCCCAGTTTGACACTGTAGGAATAAGAGGCTTTATAAATTTTCATACATTGGTTCATCTTTGAATTATTATTTTAGCTCCATGCTTCACATACTATGTTTTTAAATTCCATACCATACATTTGTATCCATGTGGTATGAATAATTCTAAGGAAAGCTGCAGCATTAAGAGCTCTAAAATTGATCTTCTCTCCACAAACTATACTATAAAACTTAACAGTAACAGGGAGCAGCAGAAATCTTCTGGTTCAGTTGCCGTACCGTTTATTTGCTGTGCTACATGACAGTCTGGAAATTCAATCTGCAAGCTATAAAAATATGCAGTAAAAGAACATGAGCACTGGTGGGTCAGTAGTAAAAGAGTTTACCGTGTAATGTTGTTCTCTCTATGTCTCTGTATACATGAGTAAAACAGAAAAGTTACAGGCTTTTTATTAATCCTAGAATGAATCAGTGTTATGATTCTCACTTAATCTTAAGAAATGCCTCACCAAATTGCTAATTTAGAATTTTCTTAAAGCCACACTGTATCATTGATAAAAGGGAACTCTGCTTTGTTCTTTTTATTCCACAAAGTGTTAGCTAAACAATTCTTTAACCTTTTTGCAGATTCACTGGTAAAATATAATACTTTTCATCTAAAGAATGGATCCTTTGATCCATTCCATAATAACTAATGCAGTAACTGAACAGTATCTGAATTAAATCTTCTCTTGAGAAAGTAGAAATTTTTTGACAATTAATTTGCTTTACCAAGATACTAATATTAATATTTCAATTTGTGAAACCAAATTAAGTAGATCAGATACCACCCTTCTTTCCAGTTCTTTTTTTGTAAAAAAAAAAAAAAAAGGTGCCAGAACTCACACACATCATACAACCCGCCTTGCCTACAAGGTTCCATCCCAAAAAGGTTCTGGAACTCCGTTCTGGGCATTCTATGACACAAAAAAAGCCCTGCTTCTTTCTATTTTCAACTGCCATCCCCATTCCAATGAATTTGTTTTCTTAATTTTCCTTCCCAGAACCTTTCACCTGAAACAGTATAGGATTATGTATGCTAGCCTTTGACTGAATAAAGATTTGTTTTAATTTCTATCCGTTTTTAATCATTTTTCCTGTCTGGCACCATTTGTTTTGAGGCTTCAAACCACTGCTAAAATCTCGAGACCACAGTATTGGACTCACCTAACATACTATTTTGAACAGAAAGTGTGTGTATGTATATATGTGTGGGTGTGTGATTGTGTAAGCAACTAACTTGTCTTCCTTCCTGAATGTTGTTAAGTAATTCTTATGAGAAAACAATAATATTCTTAAGCAAAGCTTAACTGCTTAACCAAACCTGATGTCTGCCTATATTATTTTTATGAGGACAATTCAGTACCCTCACAGGGACTTTTATTCAGTTTCCCAATCTATTTTTAATTGATATTTCTGGTAGTTGTAACATCTTTACAAAATTAATGATCATTAAAGTACTAAGCAATATATATGATCTCGAAGTGTAAGATATCTTGTCATCTGGTTTTATTGCTACAAAGTAACTCTTGTCTCTGTAGCAGGACAGAATATTTCTTGATTCAATATTGCCCCAAAAATAGTTCTTTCCTATTTTCTGGCATTATAGTTTAGTGGGGGAAAATAGTTTTATTTAATTAATTTATTTAAATTCTTTATATGCTAAATATACTGCTAAAGAAATAATTGTAAGACTCCTTAACAAATAAGCTCCATTTAGTGGTTCGCAGGAGAGTTGTAGTAACCACATCCAGTTTATTTGTCACATAGCGGTATTTTACATCTGTAAAACAGTAACTGAACATTTCCAATGGAAAGACTTTTCTATCTAAATATCATTCCACTTTCCTTATAGGCCTGGTCATTTAAGCCTATTAGTTCTATTTAGTAGGTAACATTTTAGAGAGCCAAATTTCCCAGTCAAGGAGTTCAGTTCAATTCTTCTTATATAGTAGAATGTAGATAACTTTAAAAGGTGAATGTTGATTAACTAGTCCATATACTTTTTTTTGACCAATGACAATTGCTTTGGAGGAAAAAGATAAATATAAAGATAAATATATTAAATAGAGAATTGCATGGAACATGAAAACATACATTTTCAAAATTAAAATCATAATTTTCAAGAATAGTTTTCATACAAAAATAAAATATTTGTTAGCTTTTGGGAGGAGAAGACAAAAGAAGAGTAGAGGAAATTCATTACAATTCTGATTGTCATGTTAAATTTATAAGCTATCATATTCCCTTTATTGTTACACTTTAGGAAGAGAGATAATAATTGGATAACAGAAATTGAAATCATTGGCTTTCCAGTAAATATACAAATATATTTATGTCATAGTTACATTGATTTATTTATATGCACTGCCAAAATTCTCAAACAACTATTTTGCCAAAAGTGTCATGATTTTCAACAATAGCTTGATTTTTACAAAAGAACACGAACATATTTTCTGGCACTCAAGTTTATTAAAATTGTTCCTTTCATTTAATATTAGAGTGTACCAACTAGTTCATGATAGTTTGATTTTAATAAATTAAGATATACATGCAATTCCTAAGACAAAATATTCACGATTTGCATTTTAAACAGAACATCATATACAGTAGAATAACTGCTTGAATATAACATTACCAAAAGTTACTATGTGGTGATCTCACTGTAATACTATACTACATCTGTGCAGTCTTTTACCTTTGGTAATAAAATGGTGCTTTGAACACCCATGGCAACTTGTCTGAAATTTTTGTGCAGCCCCAGGAAAAGACACAGTTGCGTTAAGGGATTGACAACAAGTGGAATATTCTTACAACCTTATGCAATTTGGAATCAAATACGATAATCTTCACAGCTCTTGTATATACTAGCAAAAATAAAGCTTTCAATCCCTCTTTCTATTTCTATTTATCTTTCTCCTTCATTTGCATTTCTCTTTATGAAAGATGCAAGATGAATCAGGAGCTCAGTTTCTAAGGAAAGTTAAAAGTGTCTCCATTTAAAATATTTCTGCAGCACCAGCTTAATTACAGTTGCTGAATTCAAATGATCT